ACATAGAACGCGAGGACTACTAGCCGAAAGCGGACGGAATTGAGAGGAGATTAGGTTCAATTCGAAGCTTGTTCTGTCCGTTTTATCTCGCGACCGCGGACATCGCAGAGTAGATCATCACAGCCTGAAGTTTGGGAGTTCACAGCGACACTGCACGACTCAGCGCAAACAAGGCATGGGCGCTTTGTTTCATATTTTCTCATTACTTATTTCTATTTGTCCCCCTCATATCATCGTACCACTCCATCTGGAATTCAATTTATGAAGTAGTCAATGTCATTTTTAAGGCTGCCAAGCTCTCCAGATTCTTATATTATTCTTTGTTTTTGTCCTTCTCACACGCCTAGGAGCCGCCGGAGCTACACCAAACACTACCGTACGCGTTAGAATTCGCAGACCACGATCTTTCACCAAACTACTCATCTTTACAAAGACCGTGAAATTCTAAAAGACGAATAAAAAACAAAAAAAAAACAAAAACAACAACAAAAAAAAAAAAACAAAAAAAAAAACAACGTTGATGGCTTTTTTTTTTCTGGCTAGAGCTGACGCTTCTACATCTAATTATCGCTCTGCTTTTATTGCCAATCACTTGGCTCGATCAAAGAGTTCCATATTGAGGGCCACTAAGCTAACAAACCGACACTGCGCGCAGACACCTGAAATACACCCTGAAACCTCGTTTACGTGCTAGATTTTTCAAATGGCCATAAAAGTGTGCTTGAGAACAAGGGGCACTGTGCAAGGTTTTCTAAAATAACCGAAAAGCTAATCGTGATTAGTGGACGGTCTAAACTTGGTGCTGGTCGCAGTGAGACAAACCTGCACGTGTTCCTTGAGAGGCGCAGCAAAGTCAAAGGCAATTTCATGTTCAAGCGAAATGCACCGGGCTACTCCTGAGATTCTAGGCAGTTTTCGGCACGCCTCGAGCAACCACGGCCTCCAGAATTTGAAAGTGTTTGAATGTAGCAGCGGCTTTCGAAACAGACATGGAAAGCACGTGGAGAGACCATCCGCACAGGACCTTCCTTATTTTTATGAACAGGAAGCGACAACGCACACTATTAAATGAAGAAAATAGCGCGTTGGTTGCAGTCAGGCTGCGTGGAAAGAATAAAGAAACTATGAAGTTAACTAGGCGAGCCGCTTTTTTTTAAATATGTTTTCTTGTCGTCCCATGTCTTGTTTGCGTCTTCTTTCAACGTATCCAATGATAATACACAAAAACAAAATCAAGGCTTTTCGTCTGCTGTGTTTCACTGCAGACTACGTCCTAATAATTTTTGACGTTTCATTTAAAATGCTCTCGGATTTTGAATAGAACGGGTGGGAGCAAGGTTTTTACTTAGAGCAATTTAGACCGCAGCGTACAGCAGTTAGAAATGAGCGTAGAGAAACCAAATTTTGTATTGAATTTTATATCCCCAAAAATGCGCGTGAAATTACTAAATTTGTTTTGTACAGATCTGTTCAGTCGCGATCAACATGAAGGTGAACACGTGATCGAGGGCCCTTTTGCACTGGCAGCGTGTTGTGCGATGCCAGTGGCGGTATGTTCGCTTTGCGAACAAAGCGTGGCATTACGTACCCCTCTCAGATAGACAGCCTAAGCTCCTTTAGCAGAAAAGACCTTCTCCCCAAAAGAGGAGTTCATGTCTCATTACGCCGTAAATACCCTTTCCCTAAATTGCCATTTTAGGGAAAGGAGCTCGCTAAAGGCTTGTACCAACTTAAAGGAGTTCGTTCGACAGTATGCGCTGTGGACATGAACGAAATTGCTGCTATACATAATAATTAAAACGTGAGAAGAAATAGCGTGCAGACTGTATTTACCGGATCATACAATTTATTGGTGTGTTCAGTCTCCGCGAGCGAGCAATAATTTGGTATAATCTCGCAGTTGACGCGATCATGCGCGTTTCTCAAACCTCGTTTAAGAAGATGGCTGACAGAAATGCTAGAATTCTCGACACAAACACATCAAAAGCTAAGGAAGCTAGGATCAATCCTGCCGAGGGGGAGACCGCGCCCTTATTCAAGTGTGAAAGGACAAGATCTCCGGCGCCAAAAACGGATCGCCGGCGTGTACGACACAATGGGGCTGCTGCCCCTTGAGCGCCTGGACACCATAAAGAGCCGCAGTCAGGTGACTACGAAGATCAAAAACATGACGGAGATGTACAGGCAAGTGTTATCTCCAGCCTCTTTTGCACAGCATCTGCTTTTTTACCTCGCTTGTGCGAGCGCGCTGCTCGAGGCTGCTGTACCCCGTTTTGTGCATAGTGAACAATGCTGCAAAAGTTACATGTAGCTTTATCTAACGTCTGTTATGAGCGAGAACACGTGCAACTGATGCGCTAGATAACAAGTCACACGCTCGCGCCATTAGCTATCACAGCGTAGTAAGATGCATGAAACGATCGAAACTCGTGGGCTGCGGACGTACACTCTAAGCAAAAAGTTTCAAGGGACTAACGGCAGCATTTGGTCCTCTGAACTTCCAGTTGACCCCGTAAGGACCATCTGGTTCAAGCTAGGTACCGTGCGCAAAAGCTGGGCACTAACTGCGCTTGACTGGGACTAACCGATAGGCGTGCGCGAGCAAAAGCATCCACTAGTCCCCCTCAGACAGGGTGCATCTGCATGATTTAGTCCCCGAAGGCAAACGGAATGTTCGCCAGGAGGACGGATGATATTTCGCTTGTCTTGGAGATCGGCGAGACTCAGCCCAGCACGGCTGAAAGTGCTGACGGAACTCGGACGAAACTGGCGAATTTGTTTAATGTGCCACACTCTAAAAAAAAAAACGTGCCAACTAGCACCTTTTAGGGTTCTTTCGCTTGTCCAATGGGCGGCACCCTTAAAGGTGCAGAAAAGAACCCACAAAAAGGGTTCTTTCTAATGAACCCTATTTCGGGGTTCTTTTCGGATCGTTTATTGGTTCTTCCTAATGAACCCTATTTTTGGTTCTTTTCAGAACGCTTCTGGGTTCTATTTAGCGAACCCTATTTTGGGGTTCTTCTCGGATCCTTTTTGGGTTCTTCCTAATCAACCCTATTTTGGGTTCTTTCCCGAACCCTTTTTGGTGCTCTTAATGAACCCTATTTCGGGTTCTTTCTAGAACCGTTTTTGGTGCTCTTAATAAACCCTATTTCGGGGTTCTTTTCGTATCGTTTATTGGTTCTTCTTAATGAACCCTATTTGGGTTCTTTCCAGAACCCTTCTTCGTGCTCTTAATGAACCTTATTTCGAGGTTCTTTACGGATTCTTCTTTGGTTTTTCTTTACGAACCCTATTTCATGTTTTATTCGGAACCCTCCTTGGTCCTTTCAATAAATCCCGACTTGGTACATTATGTTAGCATTAATTTAGTAAACCATATTTTGTACTTCTAACCCTTTTTTATGACAAATCGTTTTTTTTTTACATTCCTAGTTAGTTTTTAGTAAATCGTATTTTGTATTTCTTGCTCCACAAGGTGAATTTTTTTCTACCAAACAAAATGTCTTTAGATTGTCCATTAATCACTAGCACTGGGCCTTTTCGAAAGGTTGACAAACATCAGTCTGGCCAGCATCAAGACACTTCATTCCTGTTCGTAATTAACTAAGTGACAGGCAGAAAAGTAAAGATCATGTCCATTCATATACTTTATTAGGGTCGCAAAAATTGATTCTTCTGTTCGCAGTAAGAAAACTAACAAAATTTGAAACAGTTTTAAGACGAGACGGTTATCACTGCCAGCAACATGCACACAGCTTCTACTGTCGTTCTGATGCCGCTCACTGTCAGGACACCGTCCAAAACGATGTCAAATTTATTTTCCTGGAGATGGATCAGTGGCATCAGTGTCCGGACTTCCTACAACAAGAAAGCAAGAATATAAACACATGCATTTTCCTCTGTATAATTATGCTGCGAGTTCCTCATTCGCGACGCTTTTAGATCAATTATAATTGTATAGGTTTCACTAAGCATTTTATTTCTCGTTTAGCCTTACGCTCTAAAACATACCCGCAGATGTGATTTCCTTTAAAATATTTAGTGGGTCAATCAGTGCGATCTAGAGAACGCGACCAGCTGAAAATACGTTGCGACTTAAAAATGAAGTCTTTCACGTGACACTGAGCATGAAGCCAGCACGTGGAACGTCATACTCAGTGACATCTCTCGCTTCATTTATATGTCTAAACATGCTTTGGCCTTTTTATTCGCCGAGCTATCTTCATGAATTGGTGTGATTGGCTTCTCGAGCGTTCTGCGGGAAAGTAGATTCACAGGAATTTTAAGCATGTTTCAAGAAACGTTAGTTCTACCCATATTACATCCTTCTTGCCATATAGTCAGTAAAAGGTTAGAAAAAATCTACGAGCTGGAGAGGAGGAAGCGGACAGAAGCTTGTAGGGGAGAGGAGAAACCTTCTCTCTATTCCAAGCGTCTGTCGGCTTTCTTCTTTCAGATTTTTCTTAACCTGTCATTGACTTTAGTCGCTTATATTTCCTTTAAATTATTTTCAGAAAATAAAGCAAGGATTTGTTTTATATTACTGGCTCGTATATTGGAAATATAACCCTGAGAAGCTTGCATTACCATCTGTGACAATGCACTATACTCGGGGGTGACTTGGGCAACTTTTTTTGGCAATGTAGTCGGAGTTAAAAACGCCCGCGCATCTTGAGCGCCAATCAAGGCTATGCACACGCACTCTTCACTTCAGAAACGTCACAGAAAGTTGTTTCCGAGTATAAGTTCACCCTGTTTCAAACGAATGGCGCCGATAAGCGGTCATCAGTTCGTAATGAGGTAGTAAGTTAACCCAGCATATTTATGGTGGACAAAGGTAAACCTCTGCGCCGTCGCAGTCTGAAGCTTGTGATAGATTACAAAACCACCGACTAAAGTATACCTTCAAGCAGCTCTTCGAGGTTCAGAGTGACGTTTTTTTCCTTTGAGCAACGCCAGTGTAGAAGCTGTAAATGCCTCCATCTTGGCTCTCATGTCCTCCGAATGTCTTTGCCGAACGGCAGTTTAACGTCTTGTAGTAACTGAAAAATAAACAACGAATGGAGAGTGTTGCTGGTTTACAAAAGTACATTTATGCGCTATAGATTTGCACACGCGGATTGCTTACACACACACACGCGCATATACATATATATATATATATATATATATATATAAAAGTAGATGCCACCGAAGGGTCAAACAAACTTGGACGATTTAATTGAACATGTATAATTCATACATAAACCGCGACGTTTCGAAGGGGGACCCTTCTTCCTCAAATGACCACTCACTGTCACTAGAGTGGAGTAGGGCTGCGCGTCAATTAAAATAATTTCGATTTATGTTTCCTTTTATATTGATTAGTTAATCAATTTATGGGTTGATCTCCAGGCGTGATATTGTATCTCAGAAAAGGCCTAAAACAACCGATTTTTTATTTGACAAGTTTTTACTACGTCTTATAATGGGTATTACATAGCAACTTGTCACTGTGCCTCGTACAGAAGTAAGGCATGGCAAACATTTAAAATAAAATATCTGTACATATTTGTACAATAACAAGTTCAAATAGCAACTTGCCATTGTGCCTCATACACAAGAAAACATGGCAAACCTTTAAAATAAAATATTTGTACGTTATCATTTAAACTTCAAAACCACTCTAGATAATAATCATAAAACACTTAAGTAGCCATCAGAAGCAATTGTGTTATAACCACACAAAAAGAATAAATGAGTATTCTTACTTTTTTGTTTATAAGACTTTTCGTATTCGACTATAATATATAATAATTTAACTGCATATTGGTAATTCAACCAATATGCCGATTAAACTCACTTGATTGAGAGTAAAACGATAGTTAATTAATCGTAATGTTAATTAATTCATTGCCTAGCCTTATTACGAGGTAAAATTTTATCATTTAGCACGTATCAAAAGCCCTTATCTCATTCACAGGCGATAAAACGGGTAGTAAGAAACTTTTGAAGTCTTGATGACCTGTAAAAATCTCAAAACTTTAAGACTAAATATAAAGAAGACAATGTTGAATTACCATTCCGGGAATCGTCATTGCCAGAAATTCCTCAAGGACTGTGCGGACTCCAGCCTCGCTGAGGATCAATTCTTGGCAATACTGAAACGTCCGCATCATGCGGTCTTGTATCAGGTCGACGTTCAGGGGCACTGTAGTTATCTCTTCTTTCGTGAGCAAGACATGACGGCGAACGCTCACGGCGTCTTCACATTTGTCAGTATCAACGAATCCCTAGAAGAAAAACAATTTGTTACGTTTATGCGCCGTCTACGCATGTAAGCTATTGACATAATAGTTGCGGCACTGGATATAGGACCAAGTAAAACAGTTCTTTTCATCAAACATACATCCATATTTGTGCAAACACAAAATGCGCAAAAAGTTCGCGCCTGTTGATTTCCGCACAACACTCCGAGAGCCAATCGTCGGAACCTGCGAAGTCCGCTCAGCGAATGGCGACGCGGAACATACGTTTCGACCAAGGAATGCAGTCTGCGCTGTTACATTAAGAGGATATCTCAGTAGAATTTCATCTCCGATAGGAACTTTTTCAGAATCCAGATGGCTCTGGGGAGGACGCCTTTCCACTCAACTACTTACGCGATATAGTGCTTCTTCCAAATAAAAATAAAGAAAAAGCTCGACTTTTTGTTCCGGTTCTCAGCAGACGGCTTGACCCCTGAAAGCCCCCCACCCCACCCATCCCGACCCACCACCCTGCGAGCTGCGAGAATGGCTTTGTTTTTTGTCCGTTCGAAAAGAGGATAGCGGGGAGTGTTGTGGGCCTCCGAGGACATCGCCAAGGGGGCCCTTTGTCCTATTCTTACCGGATTAGGAAGAAAAAAAAAAAAAAACGCGGTTAGAGAACGCCTCATTTAGCTGCCTGATACTTTGGATTCATTTGGCTCGGTTCTTCGCGCTCCGAGATTTTTCGTACGATACAATTTTCATATAATATGTAGACTGTTGATATCATCATTACAAAACGAAATGCGCCATGTGTCGTGTCATAATCTTGCGAAATAGTCTACCGCAAGTCAGAATGGCGTTGCGTCCTAAATAGCAGCCCCTCGGAGCCTTCTTTTCATTACTGCGAAGCAGTGCTTAGAAAAATAAAGCTACTTACTCTAAAAAGTGTTTGATCTCCTTGTGTGAAAAAAGAAACGAAATGAACCAGTTCCTGATACCATCAGCAGCGATTAGAGTCCCAACGTTTTTTCTAGAGCACCGGATTTCAACGGTCACCCCGATTCCTAAATCGGTGTGCATTTTCGAAGTGGCACGGTATCAGAACTATGTTGTACTGCCGAAATGCCAAAAAAATTAATAACCACAAGTTTAGATAGTGTTGTGTCTTATATGCGTACTGATCAAAAGCGTAGTTCTAGAGTCACAAAGCTATGCTTTAAAAAAATATTAAAACAATAACTTCCATGATTACGTGTTCCGATTAATCACATGCTAGAGCCACTAAGGCTCTAGCATGTTTTACCGAGCACCGCATTCGTTCTTGTTTTGTTTTGTTCACCTGGACAAAGCCCCGTCACCGCAAATCACTCAAATAAGTAAACGCTGTTGCACATAGTAAAAGAATGAAAGTGCGCTGGTTGATTTTTGGGTCATGTGATTATAGTTTTTACAAAATTATAAATATTTTTTTTTTCGAAATGAGCCAATTCTATGTCAAGCGAAACTGAGATAAAGTCGAATGTCTGCGTATCAGTGAGCCATGTACTGCGGCCACCTCAGCGGTGGTCTTCGTCGCATACTATGACCGATTCAAGTTTAAAAACACAAGATCGGTGCACCGACGGGTATAGTCCTTGTTTCAGCAGAAAATACCTTATTTCGGTTCCTAGATTCACCCAATTTAGAAGAAAACAGAAAGTTGGCGTCGCAGGCGTCGATATCGGCGAAACAGCAGGATCGGGATTGACTCCGGCTCTCCACGCGGAGCTCGTTACGTACACGCGTGGGCTTCTGGAACAACTGGCGTAGAAGGTTCGGCGCACAGGACGTTCTAACCTTGAATAAGCAACAGGGTTCTGGAATTCACCAGAACGCAACATACAGAAACAATAAAAAAAGGTGTATCCGCGGCCAGGCATCGAACCTCGGCTATTTGCGTGGAAGATAAGTACGGTAACCGTTAGGCCACGGGCGCGCTGCCTAGTTGGCAAGCCGCGCACGCGGTAATATTATGTTCTGTTTCTCTTTTGCTTTGTAGTAAACAATGACTTCCTTCGGTTATGAGGCCTAAGACGAACTTGATACTTTTTGGGGGCCAGGAGTCGTCGGGTGCCGAGACGGGGGTCACATTGTTGCTTTTCGTAGTACACAACTTTGAGGCTATGTCCTGTCTCCACGTAAAAGTTATAAAAAAAAAAGCGTTCCCCACTTTTTCATGTGTTCGCATTCTGCAAAACTGTAGATTCGTCTGCCTCTTCCCCGTTTTCTTAGAAAGTAAGTTGTTCTTCTGGGGCTGAACGAGAACACTTGGTTTTACAAATATGCGAACGCGCAAAAAGCGCGCGAGCGCTGAGCAAAGTGCGGACGTGAGTTATAAATATAAACACCGCAGTGCGAACAGTAATAAAATATTTCGTAAATGAGCTTTTCTTTGCATTTGTCGAGTTTGCAGTGAGCATTTCATTGGTGAGCTTCTCTCCGGTGAGCTTTTCTCCGCCGCCCGTTCTCCGGTGAGATTTTTTGTCCACCGCTCAATAGTAACAGCCGACCAAGGGCTCATCGCAGCCAAGACAGTGCAATCGACGAACACCATAATAAAAGGCTTGCGGGTTCTAGTCTAATACATTTGCCTCTGTTTCATAAAATACTGAATCAAGAGTGTGTTGGTTCGAGTCAAACAAAGAATCTTCAGCGCGACTTTCACAACTTCCAAATTGCAACGTGTCACGCCTACTTCCAAAATGCTTGTTCTGTTTTAGCTTCACTGAATTTTTTTCGCAATGTTTGTTTTATTTGGGTAGAAATCCGCCTCCACAAGGTGACATGCGAAGCGAATGTCGACGAACTCACGTATGTCTCTTCCACATTTAAAATAAGTAAACATTTTAAATGCATCTCTGCAGAATATTTGAAATCGCCAGATCAAATCACCTATCCTATTTCGAACAGAAAGAAGTGGTAAGACAGTATCTACTCTTTGACCCTTCGGTAGCTTTTGTCTGCCTGCATTTGCTAACTTCAGTCCTCATGCAAGAACCGCTTGAAGCGTGAAATCTTTCACTCCGCTTTTCTTGACCCAAAATGCCAACAAAGATTGAAACAACCTCCCAATAACGCGCTTTGGCGATTGAAAACTAATGACTCTCACCCACCCGCTAAATATCTCCGCCGCCAAACAAAAAAAAAAAAAAAAAGAAAAGCACAACAAGAAACTTTTTACTTGCATTTGTGTGACCCCGAAACACCAACAAAGAACGGAACATCCTCCCAAGGACGCGCCCGGGCGATGTACAACCTATTGGCTATTACTCACTATCGCGATAACCCGCAAAATATCTTCGCCCCCCAAACAAAAAAGAAAAAAAAAAAAAGAAAAAGGAAAAGAAAAAAAAAAATCTGGTTCGAGAGGCACTCTTCCTCAAAATCCCGACTGTCAACCCAACGACCTTGAAGATGCAAGTAGTCCGGGGCGCAATAACACATTGCACAATTTCAAGAGCAAGTTTCGCGGACTCACTCATCGATGGCGCCACCTGACAGCTGAATTTTTTGACGTTTTGATAGGCTACAAACTTGGTTAAAATTTATTACAACGATAATCTCTGGAAAAAAGATCTTGTAAGAGATATATTCAAAAAGTCCTGGTCTTGAATATTGTGGAGCCTAAATTTGTATTTAGGTCCCGGTTTATTTTTAAATGTTTATGAAGCACGGAACGAGAAGAAAAAGGCTTTTTCAGTCATCTTAAAGTTCCTGTAAAACATTTTAAGCTTACAAATCGAAAAATGTAGCGCCACAATATTACTCAGTTTTTTATTATCTTTCTAATAAAACCAATCCCAAGCCAATCCGTTCGGTGGTTCTTGAGGAAAAATACTAAAAAGTTGCCATTGGAATTGCATAGGGCTCGGGAGGTGCGATATCCTCTTAAGCGATGCAAGCGTGACGTTTTGCATTCCTTAATGTCACAGCGCAGACTGCATCTTTGGGTCTAACCAAATGTTCGGCATCGTCATTAGTTGAGCGGTGCCGTAAACTGCAGTGATTGGCTCTCGGAGTGTCATGTCCGGTCAAAAACGGAAACGTTTACAGCACATATTCCCTCGCGTTTATTGCGGCTATAAATACGGATACATTAGCTAATTAAAGCCCGGTAACATAATTTTTTTACATTTACGAAGAGATATCATTGATCATTTCATTCGCGCTGTAAATTCGGAGTTATGTTCTTGAGATCTTTCTGGCGGAAAGCCTGAACTCAGTATTTTGTCAGATTATATAAAGTCAGTATTGTAATAATGAGATCAGTGTTCGCTGCAAAAACGTTTTTCTCTTGTGCAGTTCGACGCACGAGAGTATCAAAATAATGTTTTTTTCCAACGTGCTTGTTTGGACAACTCCAAGCAAAAAATAGCATAAAAACAAATTTTAAACGACAAGTAGCTTAATTAATAAGAGGCCGCCCCCTGTCCTACTTATTCTGCCTATGCATCAAACAATTTCTGGCCATATTGAGCGCTACGGTACTTATAGCAATTTTAAGAGAAATTACAAATATTGCCTGCTTAAGAAGAAGTTTTACCTTGAAATGATGAACAGGCCGATTGCAGTTCGTTTTCAAAAGGCCACCTGCAGACGTCTCCAACCGTTCATGTGCTCACGTCCGCTGACATGTTACAAGTGATGGCTAAGAGGAAAGGGAGGGAGGTACTTCTTTCTAGAGCTTCAAACCCAAAGGGAGAGGAGGTCAAGCATTGTTCCGATCCACCACTCGGACGAGCGAGCCCTGGCACTCCCTCGAGCAACGAAGCTAGATCCTGTTGGCTTTGGCGACCTTCAGCAACCCACCCCTGTTCACCGCTAAGCTGACAGCGTGATGGAAGCTACGTGCTCGCCGAACCAATTAGTCGCCTGGTTTTTATCACCTCACACCTTTCTCTGCGGTTGTGATCACGTGGTGCAAGACAGAAAATTCACCGGTCAAACGAGCATGACGATTCCACCGAACTGTCAGCCCGGTGGTGAGCAGATTAGCCCCCGAAACGTCGCTTTTGAATACATTATGGCTTATCTTCTGGGGTGCCGTTGAGCTGTCCGAACCATGGTTCGCTGGCGAAGATAATATGCACATAGAGGAAGCTATGGCACATGTCATCGCTTTTCCGTCCCTGTCTGCCAAGAAAAACGGCGATCACAATACCAAGCATGTCCGTCAACCGCCGGTAAAATTGTTGGCAGTTCACTCTCTTGCCCAAAATAAATACAAAATAAACAAAAGCGAAATTCTCGATTCGGTGTGACACCTTCCGGCAACGGAAAGAAGCAACAAATTGTGTTGAGCAACACGTGTTGGCCTATTTGGTGGCTGAGCGACTTTTGTGCTGGCAGTACGACAACGCACCTAGATTCGATGATTCAGTGTCCGGTCAGTGACGTGTTTTTTATAGGAATTTACCAAAATAGAGGCCTGGAAAGCAGGATTGAATGATAATCGAGCCTATTTTGGAACTGGAAAGATAAGTGATAGGTAATAAAACAATCAGACTGAGGGAATAGATGTCGTTGACAAATAATTTTTATTCCGATGGGAGCGACATCCGAACCGCCAATTCCCATTTCTGAACAAATATTAGCTCAGTTAAGCGCCACGTCACGCAAATGCTTGGGCGTGCAGTGGGCGCTTACCCCTTTTCCACTAGAAATGGGAATCGAAAACAGAACCAGCCCGAGAACCGGAAAAATGGCCACGGACAAAATTGTTCGAATAGTAAACTCGGACAAAAATAAATTTTGTCGTATTCTTTCCTGCTCCTTATTTTTGTTAGCTTAATTGGTAGAATCCCAACATATAAAAAGATAAACATTCGCATAATGCAATACATTTTTTTTTTGTGAAATAAACATTTCATTACACAAAGAAACTAGTTGTAAATGTGCGCTACGTATGGCTTCACTCAAAACGTCTTCTTGTAGCTCTGTTGAACTAATGAGGGAACTCCTTTAAAGTAAAACATTAAGTTCACAAAATGTAACTGTACCCCATCGATTTAAAGCTTCGAGCGGGAGATGGGAAAGAGTTGTATCAAGCAGTAAGATAGACTTTTGGGTTAGTCGGTTGATTGGCATAATGAAAACGAGTGCAAATAAACTGTACAAAGTCGAAGAAAAACACACACGAAACAGGTGCCTGCCCTGTGTGTGTGTTTCTTCAACATTGTCGCGCTTCTTTTTTTTTTATAGTCTTTACAAAAGTTGCATTATAAGAGCATTGAATGTATGCTTAATAGAACTTCAGAGTAGCACCTCATTAAAATATGAGTGTCTAAAAATCACTTGGGACTATTCTCTCCGGGATTGCACTTGGGACCATTTTGTCTGGGGCCATTTCGTCCAGGGCCATTTCGTCCGAGGCCATTTTGTTCTGCATCCTACCATGCCATATTGCTCGCGAAAACTGTGAGAAAAGCAGCAACCACGTTTCTGTTTTTTTTTTTTTTTTTTTTTTTTTATGCCATCCCATTCTCCTAACTTTTGACGCGACCTCAAAGTAGCGAGCGGGGTTCACCGGCGGACGGAGCACTCATTTTTTTACACTGCGTTATTATTTATAAGTTTGAACGCAGAACGTATCGAAGTTTAGTTTTGCTTCACTCAAAACGCACTTATAGAATATGCCTATGGAATTATTTCGGGGTACCCTTCTTTACATAACTGCTCCTTGAAATCGAAAAACCACCATTTGCAGGCTGATTTATTTCTGAAGATAAAGATGACTGCAGCAAACGACACTAACTTTCCGCGCAGCAGGATTTTTGATGCCACTCGGGTATGGGTCCCAACTCTATTTTTGCGGCTTGACGCGTGCCGCGAAACAATTAGAGACGGGTGGTGTCATGACCACAAGCTAGGACAACTGCATTCTATACTAAACAAAAAAAAAAAAAAAAACAAAAAAAAACGTTCCTTTGTTCTATTCATTTTTGATTCATACGCGCAAATATACGTATATTGTTTAAACACGAAAGCAAGTTAAAAAATGTCTCTTGTTACTAAAAAAACACGACGCCGCTTAGCCACTGTATCACTCATTCAACACGACACGCACTTTTTTTGTGTGCGTGTGTTGCTCATTCATTGAATTTTTGCGCCTTTACATATTTGTATGCAGTTGTTTTTTGTTTTTGGGGCGGGGGGGGAATAAAGTACACATGCGATTTCCGCAGGTACAGATTTCTTCAAATAAACATTAATTCAATGACCCGTTTAGTTTATACAAATGAGTACCAAAAATTAGCTTTATACTAACATTTCTTGCTAAATAAAACACGGCGAGCAGTTACGTTTGCAAACGAACGCCAGTGTTCAGACCGCTGAAGCAGGTGGTCCGGGAGTCAAAGGCATCGAAGCCTGTTTCATCTGTGGTCGGAGGCGAAGATTATCTCGGCTTCAGATTGCACGCGACTTGGTAAATAACTACGGCATTCCACCTCTCTAAGCTTTCAAGGACTTCACAGCTCAAACGGGCAGCTTTGTTTCCACAGAATGGCACACCCAATTTCTCGCGTGCAAAGCCTTTCGAGCCTGGTCATTGTGTCCCTCTATCCGGTAGAAGACTTAAGTGACCTTCGTTTTTGGAAGATCGCTTTATCTCTTTCCTGGCTTAAACAAGCACCCTTTTCGCTCTCTCCAGGCCGGAAACTAGCTCTGCACTTCTTTTTCTATTTTGCATGGGGTTCTTTTGGTTGAGAAAGCACGCTTCATAGGGATCTTTCCAGAAATCGGTTCTTTTTTAGCGAAAAGAACCCTTTTTTGCTCATTTGGCTCCTTTTTTTCTGAGAGTGCACGAACGTTCAGACATTACATGGTAGAGCTTCGCGCGTTGTGCGAATGCGAGTTAACGAATGTGTTGACTCTACTTATTAATAATAATAATCTTTATTTCCATTTAAAGAAATGGTGGAGCGAAAGGGAAAAAGCTTCAACAAGAAGCTTGACTGGCCCTCAGCCCCATCGGCAGCCAGTGAACAAACAGTTTTCGTGCAAAAAAAAAAAAATATACAGAAAATTATACATTATCAAATGAGATAACAGAAACAAGACACAGAACACTTAAATATGTAAAAATATATTACGCAACTCTTTAGTAGATATGGTTTCTATATTTCCATTTTCCTTTTCAAAGTTGTTTAGAAGTTTTGGAATTAAACACCGAAGCATTTGCTGCCCATAATTTGACTTGCATGTGGGAACCTTCCAATATTCATTATGGCGGGTCAAGTAAACCGTATTATTTTTTTCTAATCTAACTATCTGGTTTAAAAGAACCCTTTCCTTTTTAATTTCATTCTTAATGGTGAGTAAAAGTCTATAATCAGATAGCTTATGAATTTTTAATATTTGCAGATTTCTAAACATATTTTCAGTGTGAGAGTCATAAGGCGCGTTGAAGATGGCTCTTAACATTTTTTTTTGAAGCAGATAAATTTTGTTCAGGTTGGATGCCGTTGTTGTGCCCCAGACAAGGTTACAATAACTGAGGAGTGAGTAAAACAAAGCATTGTACATAATTAATTTCACGCGAACTGGTAGAAATTGGCTGTGGCGATACGTTAAACCAACAACACGTGACAATTTGGAAATCAAATAATTTACATGGCTATCCCATGACATATTTTCAGAAAAGAAGACACCTAGTGTTTTAAAATTTTCCACGATCTCTATTGGACTTGAGCTAAATACTATAGGCCTTGGCATAAAAATTTGTTTATTTTTTGGACGAAAGAAAATAGCCTTTGTCTTTGCAGTGTTAATACTTAATCCATTTTCCTTTGCCCACGCCGCCAACCTTTACAAAGTCAAATTAACATCATCCGCAATTTCATCACTATTTAAAGAGGAAATAAATATACTAGTGTCGCCTGCATAAATTACAAATTTAGCAACAGGGTCTATATTCACAATATCGTTTATATACAGGTTAAAAAGAAGGGGCCCTAAAATACTTCCCTGTGGGACCCCTGAAATAATACGCTTTCTATCAGAGGCATGACCACTAATGTTAATATATTGGAAGCGGTGACTCAAGTATGATTTGAGAAGTGCTAACGGCAACCCTCGAATACCATAGTAATTTAGTTTGCAAAGCAGAATGTTATGATCCACGAAGTCAAAGGCTTTTGTAAAATCTACGAACACGCCAACAACCGTTCTTTTTTCTTCAAAATTTTGTAATATATATTCTTTTTGGGATAAGAGGGCTGATTCCGTGGAACGATTTTTTCTGAAACCAAACTGCGAAGATGAGAGTAAATCGTGCTTATTCGCAAATTGTACGAGACGGGACTGTATTACTTTTTCTAGGCCTTTAGAAAATAAGGGAAGAATTGAAATCGGTCGATAATTGCTGAAATTATTTTTATCTCCTTTCTTGTGAAGGACAGATACCTTCGCCAGTTGCATCGCCGTAGGAAATACTCCAGACGAAAAACAAAGATTAAAAATATGGGTTACGTACGGCACTAATATATCAATAACGAACTTTAGTGGGCGTATTTGAAGATCATCGCAGTCGCAGCTAGAGCTGTTTTTTAATTGCATAAATGTAAAAAATACCTCAGCATCTGTGACAGGTTCAAGAAACATGGAATGGCTATTTCTGACTTCTATGTATCTGCAAGGATCAGTATTAACGTTTGTTGTAGATAAATTCGCAAAATATTCGCTGAAAGCATTCGCTAAGGAAAGGCCACTTAGGTCC